GATAATTTAACTCTTTGAACCTGGATCAGATTTCAGTTGACATGCTTTCAAGTAACTTGAGACCACTGTACCAATATGACTTGTTTGTTTGACTTGAAACATCTCGAGTTTCTATACTTCTTCTCGTTAGTCAAATCATTTGAATTCAAATAATTTGACAAATCTGAATGAGATTTTAAAGATATATCCCCGAGTTGATTCGATTTCGATTATATATAAAATTTCCTTTATTCCGAGTTAATTTGGCCCCTACGACGGAGTAAAAATTATTCTTCCCGGTCGTGATTACGATCTTCCAACTTTTTGTAATTAAAAGTTTCTTCTAAGTCCAGTAATGTCAGTTAAAGAAACCACGAGCCACTGAAATAAAGAAGATCTTGTAGAGAGTACATAATACTTATCAACTTCTTTCAATTTAAAATGGCCTATTAAGGTAGTCGTGCCAGATAAGAAATGATTTACCATGTTACATCATGGTCTGCATGAGAAAAAAACTCGATAAAACCGTTAACAGTTTCCATTTCACTCGTTGACGAGAGGCATGGGATGAATTAATTCGAAAGTTTCGTTCAGGAAGCCCAGCAAAAGGGGAACGAATAAACTGGCTGCTCGTAAGATTTCCACTTTTTACATCGTCGCAAGTCACGCAAGAACAATGCAACTGTTCTGTAAAACGTAACGTACGAAATCGGTCGCAACGCGCTGCCACACGCTGCGATAAACTTAATAGACGTTCCATGCTACGATTTGTTTTCGCTTGATCGCGATAAATTGTAAACGAGACCTTTCAAGGCGAACTCCATCGATTTCCGCGTTTCTTGCAATTAAACCGTCCGCTTTATAGCGAATTGGCGCTGTTGCTCGTGTGATTCGTGCTGTCCGCTATTTCTCAGCGTGCAACGAGCAAGTCGACTGTTATTTCTTCGTCGTCGTTTGTCGAGTGCCACTTCAAGGGACGCGTTATTCACGGCTACGAAGAGAAAGAAGCGTTTTATGATTCTCGTCTCGTCGTTGGCCCTTGTCTTCCGGGGTCCCAGGCGGCCGCTCCACTTCCCCAGTTTTCAACGTGAAACGTTCTCCGAGTTCTTGGCAAACGCTCGTGACCGACCGACGAAACAGCTGTTCCTTTGGATAACGACCATACAACGGCGTTATCCGGCCGCCGTGTTATTACAGTCAAACGATTCTGATCCGCGTACCGTGATCTTCGATTACGAGGTTAGTTACCGTACTTTTCGCGAGACAGTGCGAAGTAAACGATACAACGAGAATTGCTCGGTAATTTTGCCTTGGTAAACGATGTTTAAGCGTCAGAGCAATGTTTCTTTTATGCGGGTGGTATGTGTTAATGGATGGTGAAGCTATTGCTTGATGGAAGAAAAATATTTCTTTGGAAGAATACCTTCAATTTCATTATTTAGGAAGATCGCGTTTTTAGAGATATTTTCTAGTTTCAGCGCTTATTTGCGTAATTAAATTACTATTACTAAAATACTTTTAATTTAATCGTTCAGAGAGAGAAGTCTGCATCTTCAAAGTCTTCTGTATAATGAAACTAAAATTAATAGTGAAACTTTACGAGTCACGAATTACAGGTATAATTGCTAGTTTGACCATAATTGCTAATAAACCTCTACTGCACGACGTTAAGCAAATCGATAATAAAACGAGTAAAATTTCTATGTAAATTTTGCGAATTACAAGGTAGCAAGCCGTTTATGCAACAGAAATCTACATATATATAGTGTACAACTTTTCACATTCAGTTCATTAATAGCACTAGTTAATCAATTATTACGTAAAAGAATTCAGAATGTTAGGTATACTTATTTTTAAAACATATATTTAAGTCGAGTAAGACAACATGGAAGCACGGTAACTCGGTTTCACGAAAGTACTTTCCCCGTTTTCTTTCCTTTTCCTTTTTGCTCCACATGTTTAATGAGAATTATAAAATAACCGAAATGAGCCACAAGATTTTGATCATAATAGAGCTACATGTGTAATTTTCACCGCGATAGGAAAATAATGTACTCCGGCCTTACAATTAAGCAACGCTGGCCTCGTGATTACTTATCGTTAATTAAATCAGCCTCGGCGTTATCTTCCACGAGCCTTCGTGCGTTCCACAACCCCTTCAACGAAGAGTGCCTCTTTCCTCATACAGACTAGACCCATCTAGTTCTAACTGTGATCTCAAGTGCATGCAGCCCATGTATACCAGAAATCTTGTAATCGGGGAATGTACGCTCGTGGAATCACAAGATGGAACGACAAGTCATCGTTACTGTTTTTAGCACAACGTCGTTGGTAATCACGTTGGATGAAATGCCGGGGCTTTAAAACGTGCATTCCACGTTCGTAGCCTATTATAAATATATATCAGAATAATAGACACATTATAGAAATAATTACAGAAATTGTTACATAAAGAGGTTGGAGATACGAAACGAATCTCTATAATTTGAAAGAAATCAGTTCATCACGGCGATACAAAATATTTCGATTGCTTTAAATTCCATAAAACTGTGGGATCTGCATAGAAGAAGAAATAGTAAGAAACAGAACACTGAGAAAACTTAACTTCTTAAACTCCTTTTTGCAATTACATGGCGAGTTCAATAGAATTAAATAGTGTAAACTGACTAAAAAGAAGTTCGTGAAACGTTTCGTTAATACAACTCTGGTCCTTAATAGCTTCAGTAACAAGAAAAAATCTACTTCAACTTAGGAACATTATGTATTACCATCTATAATTTCGCGGACAATTTATTGACTGTCAGTGATACTTTCCTATGGATATATTCAGACTAAACGTGTTCTTAAAGTTTCCTTTATTATTAGTTAGCGAAGTTTCAATCCCTTTGCTGTAAAATCGATCTCGTTTCAACGGGATCCAGATAGTTCCTAAGTAAATACTAGTCAGACATTCCACACCTCGATCAGCTCGATTTTTACAGCTGTCAGACCAAAGGCTCGCAGCGGATTTCACCGTACGTGAGTTCCGCGCGATAAACCCCGACACGATAGGATTAAAATAATTTTCGATCTCTTATGCGAGGCGTAAGCGTAAGAGTGTCTCGACTTGCGTCATATAACAAAAGTAGGATAATGACAGAGTAAAGCACTACGGCCGTGGAATGATTTGAATTTTCCCAAGCGACTCTTGCGCAACTCTCGCCGACAAAACGGGCGGGTCTGGTCGTTTACAACCAAGGTGAATAGAAAAAAAATACATTTCAGCACAAAAATATCGAAACACTTACCTATATTTAGCGAAGATTACAGGGGGGCAAATATTATAGGTCTATTTTTGTTGATTTTCTAACTTTGATATCATTAAGTAGTTTCTTATGAAGTATGTAGTTAATGGGAATAAATTGATATATTTCAAAATACGAGTTTTGAAATGTAATAGTAGATGCGATTAAATTGATTTTTAAAGGCCAGAATGCAATAATAAAACTAGCGTTTCTAATTACCAAAATCTTATAAAATCTTTATCTTCAAATTAAGCTTCTTCAAAATTAATAGAAAAATTCAAGCATTAATATTCAAGCATATATCATTATCATGTCTTTTAACATACGCCTAATTTTAAATTTACAGTCTGCTGAATAGAGCATGTTTTCAAGCTTTCAGGTAAGGATCCATGTGCTCCTGACAATCATGGCAAAAAGACAAACATAAAGGGCTAAGAAAAAAGGAAAAGCCGGTGAGGAAAAGCAACAAAGAGAGAAAGAGAACACGGACAATTGGAAAATCGATAACGGTGTTCGAGATCGAGGCAAATCAAGCGTGCTACGACACGAGTATTTTCACGTTGACGGGATTACGGTCGAGCGTAGGTAACGGAACTGGAACGAGACAAAGAGGATAGCCGATCCTTCGGGTCTTCGTCTTTCGATTCCCATCGGCCGTTTTTTTGTTCGGCAATTAACGATTGTTTTGTTGCCTCTGAATGGACTCTGGATCGACAAGAGGAGAGACACTGTCGACCGAGCGTGGCATTTAACGCAATTTGATGCGATTACTTTTCTCGTGCGATGCCTCGCCGCTTTCTTCCACCGATCGTGTGCGTCTGCTGCACGTTCTACACGCGCGTACACGGTGCTTAAGTCGATTGGACACGCCTCGAGATTTGACGCCGACAGACAGAACGGAACGTCAACGTCTTCGAGAGGAGACTAGAAAGAGCACTCTAAGCTTTCCGACTTCACCGATCGTTCTGGATTATTCGTTGAGACGAAAAAAACGGAACAAGAAAAGTATCAAGGCTGTCGACGTGATAGGACACGAGATGCGTGGCGTGAAATGTGCTAAAGCGAACCCAAGTCAAGGACTGCCATACGTCGGCTTTCGATTAATTGCTCGAGTGTATATCGCGTCCAGTGGAGATCCTGGATATGTTGCACTTCCTGTTATTATAGTGAATCGATCTCAAGAGGGAAAGAAGTCGAGTGGCAGAGGAATGTTCTTGCAAAGAGTTTCTTGCGTGAGTCACGTGTGCGTTACGTGGAACTTGTCGAAGTTAAGAAATCGAGCCAAGATTTTGATTAATCGTTTTGAAATCGTTCTCCGTATATACTTCTGCCAGTTTTTTCTAAAGGTATCTGAAAGTGCCGATTGAATTGTATTTGAAAAGGTTCGATAAACTTGTCACGGCCAGTTGCCGGGATCTTTCGATTCATCGAAATCTCCTGCGGCTCATTCAGAAAACGGTTCACGTACGCACCTATGGGTTACTCACGTCGCCACGTGGCGTGGCTCGCAAGAAATATCAATTGCGGGCGCGATGGAGCTACGCATCTGTCGAGAGATCGTTTCGCATAGTTGCACACTCAACCGAGAGTTACGCAACTGGTACGCACATTACATCCGCCATTTTCTCGCCGTTTTGCATGTGTCTAGATATTCAATTCATCGGTGGTGAACATAGTTCAAGATGTTAATTAAGTATTAACGCGAGTCGACGGAATGAAGATAATTAACGACGACAGTGAGGTCTTGGAAGATTTATTAGGATGCAAGATAAATTCACTTGATATTTTGACAAGTTAATTGTCTGTTATCTTTGAATAACTTTATGTCTCTTAGGCTGATTGATTTCTGAGGCGTCGTCATTGCGCAATGTGTAACGCGCGTCGTATCATAAAAATTGATGATACGTCTGAAAGTTAAGTTCGATGGGTGGTTAATTTGCTGCCTCTCTCTTGGTCTTTATCCATGGAAAATCGTAAGTCAGAACCTCGTGACGTGCCTATGCTCGTTTGGTTATGTAACGTAATAATACTCGCGTCCTGCGTAATTGCAGTATCCCATATTTGGACCCACCAACATCCTTTCCATCGCCGTATCTTTCCTTGCTCGTATAGTCGTGAATTATTGAAACGGAGATGCTACGAGCAACCCATTCTCCAGGCCTTTCAATAAAGACATTGTACCTATTCATATGCTTATCGCGAACGTACTAGTTGATCTTCTGAGCAGCGCTATGTATTAAAAATAAGTACATTTTCCTAGGAAAATTCATCCTTCGAAAGATTTATTCCTTCTTAATGTCGCTTTCTTCTATTCACCGTTTCTTCTCTATAAAACACCGATGAAAATTATTCTTCGATATTTTGATGTTCGACAGAGGATCGTAATTCCAATCAACTACCGTTCCCTAAAGCACGAAGCCCATAAATTTACAAATCACATACCGCATTTTTCTTATTATTCTTTTCATCTCTCGAAGAATCAATGAAAGTTACTCTCCAATAATTAGTTGCTAGAAAGCTCTCTCTTCCTAAGCACAGTATAATGTTACTTTTCCTTCGCCAAGTGCATGAGAAATCTATGAAAATTATTCTCCCATATTTCTAAGCTCAATGGAGTATCTCGTAATATCAATTATCTACCGCTCACCGAGGTAGAAAAGTTCATAAATTTGCAAATCGTGGCGCAGGTTTAACCAGCACGTTTATCGGCGTAATACTCGGTCGAGTTTTACGCGAGCTGGCTAATTGAATTGAAGAGCTCAGCTCACGACGGTTGAAATTGAGAAATACACAGCAGCCAGTCACGAACACGCTCAACACAACTAGTCACGACCTCGTAACTATTTCATTGGGCCAACGACTGTCTGCTGTCGGCTTGTGTACCGCGTTCTCGTTGTTCCAGCTAATTGGTACAAATTAAAAGTGGATCGATTTCACGTGATCCAGAGTAAACAGCCGGGAGAAACGAAGGTTCAAGGACCTTTGGATGCTTAGAGCTGGTGAATAGACGCTCATTGTCAGGGTCTGCGCTTCATGTGCGGGCGTGTACGAAAATCCTTAACGTTCTCGTAACGATATTGATTGCCGCTCGTAAATCTGTATTCTAAATGGCACCGATCGCGTCGACTTTCGTAATGGATGTTGCCGCAAACTTCTCATGGAATATACAATAACGGTGTGGAGTGGAGAGACTAGTAAATCGATAACCGCAAAGGGACTATATGAAACTTCTTCTGTATCGCACTTCGTTAAACGTTTTTAATTATGCGCGGTTAAGCAGCAACTTTGCAGTCGACCTCATACTACCTGAAGCCTTTTGTAAAATGGAAGTTTACAAGTTACAAATTAGAAGTTACTAATAACAGGTTTCATTCAATGAGAAAGAATGAAATTTTACAAGATTTTGCAAATTACAAATTGCAACGTTATAAAAGAGAAGTTTATAAACTGCAATTATACACTTGTTAATTCACTGATATTATTCATTCATAAATTACTGCAATTCGTACATTAATTATACGCAACAAGGGTCAGAACTTGCATTGTTAAATTTTATATTGGTTTCCTGTTTTCAATCCTTTCAAGATAGATTTTTTCTTCGAGAATAAAGATAAAAAGTAGTCCATTCATAATGGTGCTCTGTATTTCACCAGGTCCTAATAATGTCAGAAAAATTATAAGACGGCAGTTAAAAATTATCTTAATCGTTAATTTTAATACCTTTCCCTCCTTTTATGAAACGCCTATCTCCGTTTTCTGCACGTAAATTTTGAAGAGATTTCATCCGAATGGATCAGTTAATGATGGACGACCCCATATTATTGATTGACCAGCAAATATTCCACGTCACGGCATATGTACAGCTTGTAAATCGTTTTGTCATTCAATAATGATTGACAGAACAACATGGTCTCTGCACAATTTTAGAGCTGCTGTCAACATCATCTGCTCGTAATTCGACTTGTTAAGTGGATCCATTAAGAATACATGGGTGCCATCAACGACGTAGTGGACCCTTTTGAAGGAACGAGTTCTAGGTTATTCCACTGCGAATAAAAGAGAACTACTACTATTATTAAAATTCTTAAATAAACGTGATGATAATAAAAGCATTGATACTACTTTTCTATTCGGTTTTTGTAATATTTTCACAGGCCGCCAGTCTCACTCTTTTGACTGCCATTAGTGTGATTGAACCAGAGAAGAAAGAGCACTGTATTGTTACTAAGCGCGGCATCATACGTACACGTAAAAACTTATGATAATGATGAACTGGCTTTTGCCTTTTCACATCATGCCATTATATTCACGTGTCACAAAACCATTTGACAAAGAGATTCCAAATGGTATCAAGCGACACGACACTCAAATAAATTCTACTATCCAGGCTCCGATCTACGAACTTTATAACTAAAGAATTTCAAAGGACATTAGCGCACCATTCTCTCCGCTTTTCTGTCAGCAAATTTTCTCAGAGATTCAAAAGAAGAGAACACAAACGAACCAGCCCACGCTCCGACGTCGAAGAACCGACCTCGTAACGAGAGTCACGCAACGTTTTCTCGCGGAACCGTCCCCCAACGACTCTTCAGGGACACGTTTCCGGCATTATTAGCGCCACGTGATTCTAAGACCGTTTCTCGGCCGAAACATTACGTGTTGGTCAGAGATAATTAGCTCTCGAACGGGAGATCAGAGAGCCAAGTCCCTTAAGAGCGGATCATCGCGTGTCGTCGACAAGTAAAAGCAGTTTCGTGTTGCGCGAGGCTGCAACCGCGTATTATCGATCCTCTCGAACGCAGTCTCCGAGTCTCGTGGCATGCGGAAAAAATGACACG